GGGGGCATGGAATGGGGGGACATGGAATGGGGGGACATGGAACATGGAATGGGGGGACATGGAATGGGGGGACATGGAATGGGGGGCATGGAATGGGGGGACATGGAATGGGGGGGCATGGAATGGGGGACATGGAATGGGGGACATGGAATGGGACATGGAATGGGGGGGACATGGAATGGGGGGGCATGGAATGGGGGGACATGGAATGGGGGACATGGAATGGGACATGGAATGGGGGGGGCATGGAATGGGGGACATGGAATGGGGGGACATGGAATGGGGGGGGCATGGAATGGGGGGGGCATGGAATGGGGGGGCATGGAATGGGGGGCATGGAATGGGGGGACATGGAATGGGGGGACATGGAATGGGGGGCATGGAATGGGGGGCATGGAATGGGGGGGACATGGAATGGGGGACATGGAATGGGACATGGAATGGGGGGGGCATGGAATGGGGGACATGGAATGGGGGGGCATGGAATGGGGGGGCATGGAATGGGGGGGACATGGAATGGGGGGGCATGGAATGGGGGGGACATGGAATGGGGGGACATGGAATGGGGGGGACATGGAATGGGGGGCATGGAATGGGGGGGACATGGAATGGGGGGGACATGGAATGGGGGACATGGAATGGGGGGGGACATGGAATGGGGGGGCATGGAATGGGGGGCATGGAATGGGGGACATGGAATGGGGGGACATGGAATGGGGGGCATGGAATGGGGGGCATGGAATGGGGGGCATGGAATGGGGGGGACATGGAATGGGACATGGAATGGGAGGGCATGGAATGGGGGGCATGGAATGGGGGGCATGGAATGGGGGACATGGAATGGGGGGGGAATGGGGGGCATGGAATGGGGGGACATGGAATGGGGGGGGCATGGAATGGGGGGCATGGAATGGGGGGACATGGAATGGGGGGGACATGGAATGGGGGGCATGGAAAGGGGGGACATGGAATGGGGGGCATGGAATGGGGGGCATGGAATGGGGGGACATGGAATGGGGGGCATGGAATGGGGGGCATGGAATGGGGGGCATGGAATGGGGGGCATGGAATGGGGGGGACATGGAATGGGACATGGAATGGGGGGACATGGGGGGATGGGGGGCATGGAATGGGGGGGCATGGAATGGGAGGGCATGGAATGGGGGGATATGGAATGGGGGGACATGGAATGGGGGGGACATGGAATGGGGGGGACATGGAATGGGGGGGACATGGAATGGGGGGGGACATGGAATGGGGGGGACATGGAATGGGGGGGACATGGAATGGGGGGGCATGGAATGGGGGGGGGACATGGAATGGGGGGGACATGGAATGGGGGGGAATACATGGAATGGGGGGGGAGGGCATGGAATGGGGGGGACATATGGAATGGGGGGCATGGAATAAATATGGGGGGAACATGGAATGGGGGGGAACACATGGAATATGGGGGGGACATGGAATATGGGAGAGCACGGAATAAGGGGGTTATGGAATACAGGGGGGAACACATGGAATATGGCGAGGCAATGGAATGGGGGGGCATGGAATATGGGGTGGACGACATGGAATATGGGGTGGACGACACGGAATATGGGGTGGACGACACGGAATATGGGGTGGACGACACGGAATATGGGGTGAACGACACGGAATATGGGGTGAACGACATGGAATATGGGGTGGATGACATGGAATATGGGGTGAACGACATGGAATATGGGGTGGACGACACGGAATATGGGGTGGACGACATGGAATATGGGGTGGACGACATGGAATATGGGGTGGACGACATGGAATATGGGGTGAACGACATGGAATATGGGGTGAACGACATGGAATACGGGGTGGACGACATGGAATACGGGGTGGACGACATGGAATACGGGGTGGACGACATGGAATATGGGGTGGATGACATGGAATATGGGGTGGACGACATGGAATATGGGGTGGAGGACATGGAATATGGGGTGGACGACATGGAATACGGGGTGGACGACACGGAATATGGGGTGGACCACACGGAATATAGGGTGGAAAACATGGAATATGGGGTGAACGACATGGAATATGGGGTGGACGACATGGAATATGGGGTGGACGACATAGAATATGGGGTGGATGACACGGAATATGGGGTGGATGACATAGAATATGGGGTGGATGACACGGAATATGGGGTGGATGACATGGAATATGGGGTGGACGACACGGAATATGGGGTGGACGACACGGAATATGGGGTGAACGACATGGAATATGGGGTGGACGACACGGAATATGGGGTGGACGACACGGAATATGGGGTGGACGACACGGAATATGGGGTGGACGACACGGAATATGGGGTGAACGACACGGAATATGGGGTGGACGACACGGAATATGGGGTGGAGGACATGGAATATGGGGTGGACGACACGGAATATGGGGTGGAGGACATGGAATATGGGGTGGACGACACGGAATATGGGGTGAACGACATAGAATATGGGGTGGACGACATGGAATACGGGGTGGACGATATGGAATATGGGGTGGACGATATGGAATATGGGGTGGACGACATGGAATATGGGGTGAATGACACGGAATATGGGGTGGATGACATGGAATATGGGGTGAACGACATGGAATACGGGGTGGATGACACGGAATACGGGGTGAACGACACGGAATATGGGGTGAACGACATGGAATATGGGGTGGATGACATGGAATATGGGGTGGACGACACGGAATATGGGGTGGATGACACGGAATATGGGGTGGACGACACGGAATATGGGGTGAACGACATGGAATATGGGGGGGTGGGGGCTGGATTCCCCCCCCCCCCCAATCCATGGGGCTGCCCCATTACCTGGGCCTGGCTGATGCGGACGGGCTCCTGGAAGAGGGTCCAGAGGACGCCCTGCAAGCAGGGGGGGGTGCTGAGGGAGCCGTTGTAGCGGTAATAGAGATCCAGGCGGGGGGGCAGCAGGTCCCGGATGCTGAACGGGGGGATGGAGGTCCTCTGCCCTATGGATGGGGCTTGGTTATGGGGGGGGAGGAGGAATTTGGGGGTCCCCCCCCCCATCTTTGCCCTGCGCACTCACCAGCATAGCGGATGCTGCCCAGGTGCTGCAGGATGTTGGCGTAGGCTGGGTGTGGGGCAGGACCCACCTGGGGGGGGGCAATGGGGATGTGTGGGTGGGGGGGGGTTGGAGGGGGTTTGGGAGAGGTTTTGGGGTGTTTTGGGAGGGGGGTGGGGTGTTTTAGGGAGAGTTTGGGGGGGTTTTGGGTGTTTTGGGAGGGTTTTGGGGGTGTTTTGGGAGGGTTTTGGGGGTGTTTGGGGGAGATTTTGGGGGGGTCGGGTGTTTTCGGGGTGTTTTGGGAAGGGTTTTGGGGTGTTTTGGGGAGGTTTTTGGGGGGACTTTTTTGGGGGGTTTTGGGGTGTTTTAGGAGGTTTTTTGGGGTGGTTTGGGTGGGTTTTTTGGGGGGTTTAGGAGGTTTTTTGGGGTGTTTTAGGAGGTTTTTTGGGGTGGTTTGGAGAGGCGTTGGGGTGGTTTGGAGATGTTTCAGGTGGGGATTTGGTGTGGTTTGGGGAGGGATTTTGGGGGGGTTGGGGAGGTTTTGGGGTATCGTGTTTTGGGATGTTTTTCAGATGTTTTTGGGGTGTTTTGGGGTATTTTGGGGGGGTTTTGGGGTGGTTTGGGGAGGTTTTGGGGTGCTTTAGGGGTGTTTTGGGATAGTTTTGTGGTGCTTTAGGGGTGTTTTAGGGTGTTTTGGGATGCTTTAGGGGTGCTTTAGGGGTGTTTTGGGATGGTTTTGGGGTGTTTTGGGATGGTTTTGGGGTGGTTTTGGCACGGTTTTGGGGTGTTTTGGGATGGTTTTGGGGTGTTTTGGGGATGGTTTTGGGGTGCTTTGGGGATGGTTTTGGGGTGCTTTGGGGATGGTTTTGGGATGTTTTGGGATGGTTTTGGGGTGTTTTGGGGGTGGTTTTGGGGTTTTTTGGGATGGTTTTGGGGTGGTTTGGGGGTGTTTTGGGGATGGTTTTGGGGATGGTTTTGGGGTGTTTTGGGGTGGTTTTGGGGTGTTTTGGGATGGTTTTGGGGTGTTTTGGGATGGTTTTGGGGTGTTTTGGGGTGTTTGGGGTGTTTTGGGGGTGGTTTTGGGGTGTTTTGGGGGTGGTTTTGGGGTGGTTTTGGGGTGTTTTGGGATGGTTTTGGGGTGTTTTGGGGGTGGTTTTGTGGGGTTTTGGGGGTGGTTTTGGGGTGTTTTGGGATGTTTTGGGGGTGGTTTTGGGGTGTTTTGGGGATGGTTTTGGGGTGTTTTGGGGATGGTTTTGGGGTGTTTTGGGATGGTTTTGGGGTGTTTTGGGGGTGGTTTTGGGGTGGCTATGGGGTGTTTTGGGGGGGGTCGGTACCTCCAGCAGCACCCCCAGCACAGCCAGGCCCCCGCTGTGGTGCTGCGCCTCGCTGGCGTTGCCGTAGCGCTCAGCATCGTAGTGCACCACGTGCATCTGGGGGGGGGAAGGGGGGGGCAGAGCAGGGACCCCCCCATAGCCCCCCCCCCCCATCACCCCCTTCCCTTCTGGGCCCCATTCCCGCTCCGCACCCCCATTGCCTCGGCTGCTCCCGCACCAGGACCCTTTCCCCTTCCCTGCGCCGTTCCCAGGCTGTTTCCCATCCCCACCTCCTGCTCCTGCATCCCGCCCCATTTCCCACCACATCCCCATCCCATTTCCTATTATCATCCCATTTCCCACCACATTCCCATCCCATTTCCTATTATCATCCCATTTCCCATTCCCATCCCATTCCCACCACATTCCCATCCCATTTCCCATTCCCACCCCATTTCCCATCACATTCCCATCCCTTTTCCTATTATCATCCCATTTCCCACCACATTCCCATCCCATTTCCTATTATCATCCCATTTCCCACCACATTCCCATCCCATTTCCTATTATCATCCCATTTCCCATTCCCATCCCATTCCCACCACATTCCCATCCCATTTCCCATTCCCACCCCATTTCCCATCACATTCCCATCCCTTTTCCTATTATCATCCCATTTCCCACCACATTCCCATCCCATTTCCTATTATCATCCCATTTCCCATTCCCATCCCATTTCCCACCACATTCCCATCCCATTTCCCATTCCCATCCCATTTCCCATTCCCATCCCATTTCCCATTCCCGCCCCATTTCCCACCACATTCCCATCCCATTTCCTCTTATCATCCCATTTCCCACCACATTCCCATCCCATTTCCCATCACATTCCCATCCCATTTCCCACCACATTCCCACCCCATTTCCCACCACATTCCCATCCCATTTCCTATTATCATCCCATTTCCCATTCCCATCCCATTTCCCACCACATTCCCATCCCTTTTCCTATTATCATCCCATTTCCCATTCCCATCCCATTTCCCACCACATTCCCATCCCATTTCCCATTCCCATCCCATTTCCCACCACATTCCCATCCCATTTCCTATTATCATCCCATTTCCCATTCCCATCCCATTTCCTATTATCATCCCATTTCCCATTCCATCCCATTCCCACCCCATTTCCTATTCCTATTCCATTTCCCACCTTATTCCTATCCCATTTCCCGTTCCCACCCCATTTCCCATTCTCATCCCGTTCCCACCCCATTTCCTACCTCATTCCTATCCCATTTCCTATTCCCACCCCATTCCCATATCATTTCCCATTCTTATCCCATTTCCCACCCATTCCCATCCCATTTCCCATTCCCATTCCATTTCCCACCTTACTTCCATTCAATTTCCTGTTCCCATCCCATTCCCATCCCGTTTCCCACCTTGTTCCTATCCCTTTCCCATTCCCATCCCATTTCCCACCACTTTCCCATCCCATTTCCTATTCCTATCTTATTTCCCATTCCCATCCCATTTCCACCCCCTTCCCCATTCCCATCCCGTTTCCCTCCTTGCTCCTATCAGTTTCCCATTCTATTTCCCACCTCATTCCCTTCCCATCCCATTTCCCACCTCATTCCCACCCCATTCCCCATTCCCATCTCATTTCCCCATTCCCACCTCATTCCTATCCTTTTCCCATTCCCATCCCATTTCCCATCCCATTTCCCACCTTGTTCCTATCCCTTTCCCATTCCCATTCCCTACCTTATTCCCATCCCACTTCCCACCCATTCCCATCCCATTTCCCATTCCCATCCCATTTCCCATTCCCATCCCATTTCTCACCTTATCCCCACTCCATTCCCCATTCCCATCCCATTTCCCATTCCCATCCCGTTTCCCTCCTCGTTCCTGTCCTTTTCCCATTCCATTTCCCACCTCATTCCCATACCATTCCCCATTCCCACCCCATTCCTATGTTTTTCCCATTCCCATCCCATTCCCATCTCATTCCTATCTCTTTCCCATTCCCACCTCACTCCTATCTCTTTCCCATTCCCACCCCATCCCATTCCCATTCCCACCTCATTCCAATCTCTTTCCCATTCCCATCCCATTCCCACCCCATCCCCACCTCACTCCTATCTCTTTCCCATTCCCACCCCATTCCCACCCCATCCCCACCTCACTCCTATCTCTTTCCCATTCGCATCCCATTCCCATTCCCACCTCATTCCCATCCCATTCCCACCCCATCCCATTCCCATCTCATTCCCATTCCCATCCCATTCCCATTCCCACCTCACTCCTCTTTCCCATTCCTATCTCTTTCCCATTCCCATCCCATTCGCATTCCCACCTCATTCCCATCTCATTCTCATTCCCATTCCCATCTCTTTCCCATTCCCATTCCCACCTCATTCCCATCTCATTCCCATTCCCATCTCTTTCCCAATCCCATCCCATTCCCATTCCCATCTCTTTCCCATTCCCACCCCATTTCCATTCCCATTCCCACCCCATTCCCATTCCCATTCCCACCTCATTCCTATGTCTTTCCCATTCCCATTCCCATTCTCACCTCACTCCTATCTCTTTCCCATTCCCATCTGTTTCCCATTCCCACCCCATTCCCATTCCCACCTCATTCCTATGTCTTTCCCATTCCCACCCCATTCCCATTCCCATTCTCACCTCACTCCTCTTTCCCATCCCCATCTCTTTCCCATTCCCATTCCTATCCCATTCCCATCCCATTCCCATTCCCACCTCATTCTCACCCCATCCCCATCTCTTTCCCATTCCCACCCCGTTCCTATTCCCACCCCGTTCCCATCCCCATCTCTTTCCCACTCTCACCGCGTTCCCACCCCATTCCCACCCCGTTCCCATCCCCATCCCCATCTCTTTCCCACTCCCACCCCATTCCCACTCCCACCCCGTTCCCATCCCCATCTCTTTCCCATTCCCATTCCCACCCCGTTCCCATCCCCATCTCTTTCCCATCCCATCCCATCCCATTCCCATTCCCACCCCGTTCCCATCCCCATCTCTTTCCCACTCTCACCCCGTTCCCATTCCCATTCCCACCCCGTTCCCATCCCCCTCCCCATCTCTTTCCCACTCCCACCCCATCCCCATCCCCATCCCCATCTCTTTCCCATTCCCATCCCCATTCCCATCCCCATCTCTTTCCCATCCCATCCCATTCCCATTCCCACCCCGTTCCCATTCCCATCCCCATCTCTTTCCCATCCCATCCCCATCCCCATCCCATCCCATTCCCATTCCCACCCCATCCCCACCCCATCTCTTTCCCATCCCACCCCACTCCCACCCCGTTCTTTCCCACCATCCCCTCCCATCCCATTCCCTCCCCACCCCATCTCTTTCCCATCCACCCCACTCCCATGCTCTCCGCCGCCGCCCGGTGCCCATCCACCACATGCTCGGCCCCTCCGCTCCCTCCGCCTCCTCCCCAGTGGAAGTGAAGCTGCTCCGCGGCGAAGCTCCGGGGGAGCCCCCGCAGCCGCAGCGCCGGCGGCAGCTCCAGCACCGCTGCGGGGACACCGGGACCGGGGCTCACGGGGCGGCCCGGGACCCCCCCCCTGCCCCGCTTAACCCCGGTCCGCCCCGTACCCGTGTGCCCGTTGTTGCTCAGCGCCAGCAGCGCGGCCCCGGGGCTCTCGTAGCCCTCGGGGCTGATGGGGGGCAGCGAAGGGTCCGTTTGCACCCCCGATGTCCGGATGTCGATGGGGGATTGAGCCCGGCCCCCGCACGCCGGGTGCCCCTCGGCCCAATGGTGCTGCCCGTGGGGACCTGCGGAGGGAGGGAGGGAGGGATGGATCCCGGTGTTCCTCCCGTCGGGAATGGCCCCGCTTGACCCCGTGTGAGGCCGGGATATTCCCAATGCGCTCCTTAATCCTTTCGGGAAGGGTTTTCCGGCTCGGGGAGCGGGGACAAAGGGGGACGGAGGAAGGGGGGGGTCGTCCCCCCCCAACGGGATGGGGCTTAACCGGGATCGGATCCTAATGGGATTTGGCAGCGGGGATGGAGCTTTATGTAAGGGAGCACAATGGGAGCATTGGAGCACGGAGGGGACCCGAGGGGACACGGGAACGGGGGGGGGGGGGCACCCAAGCACCCACCCACATCCCATTTGGGGGCACCCAAAGGAGTCTGGGGGGGGGGTTGGGGTCACCCATTCATCTGCCTCGGATTGGGGGGACCCTGGGGGGGGGGGGGCACCCAAGCACCCACTCACATCCCATTTGGGGGGACCCAAAGGAGTCTGGGGGGGTGTCACCCATTCATCTGCCTCGGATTGGGGGGACCCTGGGGGGTGGGGGCACCCAAGCACCCACCCACATCCCATTTGGGGGCACCCAAAGGAGTCTGGGGGGGGGGGGTTGGGGTCACCCATTCATCTGCCTCGGATTGGGGGGACCCTGGGGGGGGGGGGGTTAGGGGCACCCATCTCTATGGGAACGGGGTGAGGGGTTTAAGGGGGGCTGCACCCATCCATCCCCCCCCCCCGCCCCCCAATTTGGGGGTGCTGTTGTGGGTCAGGGGCCCCACTCACCCTCATACGTCCAATGGGGACCTGTTGGGGGGGGGGAACAGAGACGTTTTGGGGGGGGGCTTTGAAATGAGCCCCCCCCCCCCCAAAAACTCATCCGTGGGGTCCCCAAGGGGGGGTCCCGGCCTTGGGGTACCCTGGGGGGGGGGGGGGGGCACTCACCGGCGGGCAGGGCAGGGGGCAGGGCCCCCAGCAGCAGCAGCAGCGGCACCATGGTGGGGGGGGGGGGTTGGGGGGCGGCTGGACCCGGTTTAAATACCCCCCCCGGGGGGGGGAGGGGGGGAAAGGGGGGGGGAGGGGGGAAAGAGGGGGGAGGGGGGGGGTCCATTCCCAGGGAGATGGGGGGGGGGATGGGGGGCGGCTGGACCCGGTTTAAATACCCCCCCCGGGGGGGGGAGGGGGGGAAAGAGGGGGGGGAGGGGGGGGGGGTCCATCCCCAGGGAGATGGGGGGGGGGATGGGGGAAAAGGGGGGGGTTGGGGGGGGAGGGTCAAGGGGGGGCTCATGGGGGCTGGGGGACGTGAGGGGGGGGGGGCCTTGCGCTGGCTGCCCTCGCCCCGCCCCCTTTGTCCTGCCCCCGCCCCTTTATAAACCACGCCCCCTCCTCCCTGACGTCACAAGGGTACGCTCCTCCCCCCACGTGCTGGCCCGCGCGCCCTCCCGCCCCCTCGTCATTATGTAACATCGTTCCGCCACGCCCCTCCCTCCCTATTGGCCGTGACGTGCGGCCGAAGTCACCGCCCATTGGTGGGAGGAAGCGGGGAGGGGAAAGGGGGCGGAGCCGAAGGAGTCCGGGGCGGAGCCGGAGTCCCCACATGGAGGGGCGTGGCCGCTGTCCCACCTCTTCCGGCCAATCAGCTGCGGGGAGCGCGCCGCATTGGCCAGCGCCGGCCAACCAGGAACGAGTGGGCGTGGCGCCGAGCGGAGGCTCCGCCCGCTACTGGGGCTCGGGAGCCAATGGGCGAACGGGGTGGGCGGGGCCCGGCGCGAGGCACGTGCGGCCGCGCACGTGTCCGCGTGGGGCCAGCGCAAGCCGGGCGGGACCGGGACGGGAACAACGAGACCGGGAGCAGCGACAGCGGGAAAAGAGCATCGGGATCGGGATACAGGGATCGGGATAACGGTATCGGGATCGGGATACAGGGATCGGGATAACGGGATCGGGACACGGGGAGAGAGAGATCGGGATCGGGATCGGGATAACGGTATCGGGACATGGGGAGAGAGAGATCGGGATCGGGATACAGGGATCGGGACAACGGTATCGGGACACGGGGAGAGAGAGATCGGGATACAGGGATCGGGATAACGGGATCGGGACACGGGGAGAGAGAGATCGGGATACAGGGATCGGGATAACGGTATCGGGATACGGGGAGAGAGAGATCGGGATACAGGGATCGGGATAACGGGATCGGGACACGGGGAGAGCGATATCGGGATCGGGATACAGGGATCGGGATAACGGTATCGGGACACGGGGAGAGCGATATCGGGATCGGGATACAGGGATCGGGATAACGGTATCGGGACACGGGGAGAGAGAGATCGGGATCGGGATACAGGGATCGGGATAACGGTATCGGGACACGGGGAGAGAGAGATCGGGATCAGGATACAGGGATCGGGATAACGGTATCGGGACACGGGGAGAGAGAGATCGGGAGCGGGATACAGGGATCGGGACACCGGTATCGGGACATGGGGAGAGCGAGATCGGGATAGGGACACCGTGATCGGGATACAGGGATCGGGACACCGGTATCGGGACATAGGGAGAGTGATATCAGGATCGGGACACCGGTATCGGGACACAGGGAGAGCGATATCGGGATCGGGACCGGGATACAGGGATCGGGACACTGGTATCGGGCCATAGGGAGAGTGGTATCAGGATCGGGACTGGGATAGAGGGATTGGGACACCGGTATCGGGACACGGGGAGAGCGATATCGGGATAGGGACATAGGGAGAGCAATATCGGAATAGGGACCGGGATACAGGGATCGGGACACCGGTATCAGGACATAGGGAGAGCGATATCGGGATAGGGACACCGGTATCTGGAGCGGGACACCGGTATTGGGACATAGGGAGAGCTGTCGGGATAGGGGCACCGGGATTGGGATACCGGTACCGGAATAGGGACACTGCTACTGGGATATGAGGATAGGGGCACCAGGATAGGGACACCGGTACCAGGATACAGGGATAGTGATATCGGGATAGGGGCACCGGGATAGCGCTACCGGTACTGTGTGATATCGGGATAGGGATACCGGTACCGGAATAGCAATATCGGGATAGGGATACAGGGATGGGAGCACCGGGAGAGCGATACCGGGGATGGGGATCCCACCAGGGGGTGCAATGGGGGGTATCGGGGTCCTGTATGTGGGAGGGGGGGTTCCCTTCTCTGCGCTTTCCCATTTTGACCCAAATTCCCCCTTTTTCGCCTCTTTTTTTCCCTCCCCCCCCCCTGCAGCCTCGTCCCGACGGAGCTGAAACCCCCCCCCCACCCCAATGGATCCCCCCCCCCGCGCCTGCTCCTGCGGCTCCCCCACGTCCGACAGCGAGGCCGAAGGGGGGGGCCCCGTCCCGACCCCCCCCCCCCCTGAGCACGGCGCCAAGCGCCGGGGGGGGCCGGGACGAGCCCCCCCCCGCTCCCCCCCATCCCCGTGCCCTGCGAAGAGGGCTCGGAAAGGGGAGGGGGGGGGGAAGCCGCGGCCCCTCCCCCCCAGCGATGCCGATCGCCTCTTTGCCCAAAAAGTGAGGTTTTTGGGGTGAAAACCAAAGGGGGGGAGGGGGAAGGAGGGGGATGGGGGGGGGGGCAAAGGGCCCCCCCCCCAGCCCCCCCAGCGCTGTGGGTCCAGCGCTGCCTCTGCTCCCCCCCCAGTGCCGGGAGCTCGGGGGCTTCATCCGGCCCCTGCAGGAGCTGCTCGAGGGGCTCCAGAGGGGGCGGTTCCACAAAGGTGGGTGCCCCCCCCCCCTTTCCTTCCCCCCCTTTTCCTTCCCCTTCCCCCCCTTTTCCTTCCCCTTCCCCCCCTTTTCCTTCCCCTTCCCCCCTTTTCCTTCCCCTTCCCCCCTTTTCCTTCCCCTTCCCCCCCTTTCCTTCCCCTTCCCCCCTTTTCCTTCCCCCCCTTTTCCTTCCCCTTTCCCCCCTTTCCCCCCTTTTCCTTCCCCTTCCCCCCCTTTTCCTTCCCCTTCCCCCCTTTTCCTTCCCCTTCCCCCCCTTTTCCTTCCCCTTCTTTTCCTTCCCCTTCCCCCCTCTTTCCTTCCCCTTCCCCCCCTCTCTCTCCCCTTCCCCCCTTCCCCTTCCTTCCCCTTCCCCCCCTTTTCCTTCCCCTTCCCCCCCTTTTCCTTCCCCTTCCCCCCTTTTCCTTCCCCTTCCCCCCTTTTCCTTCCCCTTCCCCCCCTTTTCCTTCCCTTCCCCCCCTTTTTTCCCCCACTTTTTCCTCCCTTTTTTCCCATTTTCCCTCCCCTTTTCTTCCCTTCCCCCCCTTTTTCTTCCCTTTCCCTCCTTTTTCCTCCCTTATTTCCCGTTTTCCTCCCTTTTTCCCCATTTCCCCCTTTTTCTCCTATTTTCTTTCTTCCTCTTTTCCTTTTCCTCCCTTTTTTCCCCATTTTCCCTCCCCTTTTCCCAGCTTTCCCCCCCTTACACCCTTTCTGCTTCTTTTCCCTCCTTTTTCCTCCCTTCTTTCCCATTTTCCTCCCTTTTTCCGTGTTTTCCCTCCCCTTTTCCCCACTTTCCCACCTTTCCCCTTCTTTTCCCTCCTTTTCCCCCTTATTTCCCATTTTCCTCCCTTTTTCCCCATTTCTCCTTTTTTTCCTATTTCCTTTCTTCCTCTTTTCCTTTTTTCCCATTTTCTTCCCTTTTTCCTGTTTTCCCTTCCCTTTTCCCCCACTTTCCTCCCTTTCTGCTTTCCCCTTTTCCTCCCTTTCGCCCAATTTCTGCCTCTTTTCCCTTTTTCCTCCATATTTCCTCCCTTTTTCCTCCCTTTTTCCCCCTTTTTCCCTTATTTTCCCCCTTTTTCCTCCCTTTTCCCCCCTTTTTCCTCCCTTTCTCTTCCTTTTCCTTCCCCTTTTTTCCCTATTTCCTCCTTTTTTCCTGCCTCTTTTCCCCCTATTTCCTTTTTTCCTCCATTTTTCCTCCCTTCCCCCCCCTTTTCCCCCTTTTTCCCCCCTGTTCCCCCCCCTCACCCCCTCTGCACCCCCCAGGCCTCAGCCCCTTCCAGCAGAGCCTGGCCATGGACCGGCTCCACCGCATCATCGGGGTCCTGCAGAAGCCCCACATGGGGTGAGCGCTGCCCCCCCCCCCCATAGCCCCCCCCCATGGGAGGGCGGGCGGGAGGTCCCCCCGCCCGCTAGGGGGCGCCTCCCCCGCTCACGGGTGCCCTTCCCTCCCGCCGCAGCTCCCGGTACCTGCCCACGCTGCTGCAGGTGGAGGGGATGCTCCGGGTCTGGTTCCCCCACGTGACCCCCAAACCGGGCCCCTCCCCCCGCAGAGTGACCCCGGATGCGTGACCCCTCCCCCCCGCCCCCCTCCCCCCTCCATTTCCCACTTTAGGCCTTTTTTTTTGGGGTATTTTCTCATTTAATCGGGATTTTGTGACCGGGGGAGGGGGGAGGGGCAGGACCCCCCCCTTGACCCCCCCCTCCCCCTCAAGTGGGGGTGGGGAAACCCCACTGCCCCTCCCCCATCAGAAGCAAGGGGGGGAGGGGGAAGGGTCAACCCCCCCTCCCCCCCCAACTGGTGACCTCTGACCCCGTGACCTCCCCCCCCCCCAAAGCGCTGACCTTTCCCGCGGGACAAACCCCGCCCCCTTGTCCTAAACCACCTTCCGTGCGTCATAAGCCCCGCCCAGCGCTGCTCGCGACGTCACTTCCGGTTCCCGCTCGGTGGCGGTGAGTGCGGCCCGGTCCCTCCGGTTCAAAAGGGGTTTTGGGGGGGGGGAGGGGGGGGGTCACGGGAGGGGCCTCGGTTCATCCCCGCCCCCACCGCTGCAGCCCCCCTCCCCCATGGCGAATCACCTCCGGTTCTGGGGCCGCACCGTCATGGTGCGCAACGGCAACGTGGAGGCGGCCTACAGCGCGCTCAACAGGTGAGGCCCCGCTGGTGGCGGAGGAGGAGGAAGCGGCCCCGAGCACCGGAAAACCCTCCGCTGAACCGAGGCCTCCGCCGCAGGATCCTGACGCAGGACGGGCTGCTGGAGAGCGTGCGGCGCGGGCGCTACTACGAGAAGCCGTGCCGGCGGCGGCAGCGGGCGGCCTACGAGGCGAGCCGGCGGGTGTACGGCGCGGAGATGGGCCGCAAGCTCGGCTTCCTGGCGAGGAGCAACCGGCAGGACCCGTGGCTCGGCTGCTAATGGCGGCCGCAATAAAGGCTCCCGCTGCCCTCACAGCGCTTCCGGGTGTCGTCATCGCCGCGGCGAGCTGCGATTGGTGGGGGGGAGAGGCGGCAATCATTGGGGGGTGGGCGGGGGGAAGCGCAACAGAGCCTATCAGGGGAAGGGGGTGTTATTCGCCAGCCAATCGGAGCACGCGCGGGTCTTTTCCACCAATCACCGCGCCCGCCTGCTGGGGACGCTCCGCCCTCCTGCTTCCGCCCAAAGCCCCGCCCGCCTTCCCGCCGTGCCCCGCAGCGCGCAGGAGCTGTGGCGTCATTTCCGGTTCCGACGCGACGTGCCGTCACCGTCAGGGGCCGCCGAGCGGGCCCCGGCCGCGCCCGGTGAGAGAACGGGAACGGGAGCGGGAATGGGAACGGGAACTGGGCCGGGAACGGGAGCGGGACTGGGAACGGGGCCGGGAACGGGAATGGGAATGGGAACGGGAACGGGAATAGGAGCGGGACCGGGAATAGGAATGGGAACGGGAGCGGGAATGGGAACGAGGCCGGTACCGGGAACGGGAATGGGAGCAGCAGTTGCAGTGGAGCCAGGACCGGGAACAGGAATGGATTGGGAATGGGAGGAACGGGACTGGGAATGGAAACAGGGCCGGGACCGGGAATGGGAACAGGAGCAGCAATGGGGCCGGGACCGGGAACAGGAATGGACCGGGAATGGAAGCGGGAATAGGAACGGGAGCATTGATGGGGCCGGAAATGGGAGCGGGGCTGGGAACGGGACTGGAAATGGGAGCGGGAGCGGGAATGGGGCTGAGAACGGGAGCAGGGCTGAGAACGGGAGCAGGACTGGGAATGGGAGCGGGAACGGGAATGGGATCAGAAGTTGCAGTGGGGCTGGGGCCGGGAACAGGACTGGACCGGGAATGGAAACGGGAATGGGAACGGGAGCAGCAGTGGGGTCGGGACCGGGAACAGGAATGGACCGGGAATGGAAGCGGGAATAGGAACAGGAACGGGAGCGGGGCCGGGAATAGGAGTGGGAATGGGAGCAGGAACAGGAATGGGGCCGGGAACAGGAATAGGAGTGGGAATGGCAATGAGAATGAGGCCAGGAATAGGAGCGGTCATGGGGCAGGGACTGCGGGCAGGAATGGGGCCGGGAACGGGAATAGGAGCGGGAATGGCAATGAGAATGGGGCCAGGAATAGGAGCGGGCATGGGGCCGGGTCCGCAAATGGGAGCGGGAGCAGGAATGGGGCTGGGAATGGCAATGGGGGCAGGAACGGGAATGGGGCCGGGAACGGGAATAGGAGCGGGAATGGCAATGAGAATGGGGCCAGGAATAGGAGCGGGCATGGGGCCGGGACCGCAAATGGGAGCGGGAGCAGGAATGGGGCTGGGAATGGCAATGGGGGCAGGAACGGGAATGGGGCCGGGAGCGGGAATGGCAATGAGAATGGGGCCAGGAATAGGAGCGCGCATGGGGCAGGGACCGCAAATGGGAGCGGGAGCAGGAATGGGGCTGGGAATGGCAATGGGGGCAGGAACGGGAATGGGCACCGGGGGGGGGGGGGAATGGGAGGGTGCTGGGAGAGGACCGAGGCTGTGGGGAGCCTGCTCCGTTCCCCACTGCTCCATAGGGAAACCGCAGCTCCCCCATCCCAGGCCGCGGCTCGGAGCTTCCTGAACGGACTCCATGGCGCTTCCCAATGGGATCAGTGGTGGTGGTGGTGGTGGTGGGGGGTCATTAACCATCCCTGTGTCCTTGGCTGCCTGACGGGCTCGGGCCCCTCTCTTGGCAGGATAAGGCCCGTGGGGCGCTGGGCGCCATGGCGCTGTCCAAGCGGGAGCTGGATGAGCTCAAGCCGTGGATCGAGAAGACGGTGAAGCGGGTGCTGGGCTTCTCGGAGCCCACCGTGGTCACGGCCGCCCTCAACTGCGTGGGCAAGGGCATGGACAAGAAGAAGGCAGCGGGTACGGGCTGGGGGCCGCATCCTGCTCCCGGGGCTGGCTCGGAGCACAGCGGCCGCACCGGGGTCCTCCCGCCTTGGAACGGGTGAAGGAAAGCAGGATGGAGCCGAGATTTTTGGGTCCCAAAAGGAGGATTTTGCTAGTTTTGGATGCGTTTTGGCTTGCTGTTTGGAGCCGGCTTCGGCCCTTCGTTGCCGGGCTTGGAAGCAGCGGCGTTCCCGGATCCCGGAGCAGTTGGGATCATTCCCATCCCTTTCCTTACCCAATCCCTCCTCTTTTTCCAGACCACCTCAAGCCCTTCCTGGACGATTCCACGCTGCGCTTTGTGGACAAGCTCTTTGAAGCCGTGGAAGAAGGGCGAAGCTCCCGGCATTCCAAAGCCAACAGCGACCGGAACCGCAAGCGGGAGCTGAAGGTGATTATTCCCTCTTCGTGCCTTTGCTGATGGGGGCTTTCCCTATGGATCTGCGCTGCTTCCCGAGGGGTACGGCTTGGAATGCTTCAAGGTCAAGAGGAAAGGCGCTGGTTTTCCATGAGGGAACGCGGGAGCCTTCCCATTCCCGTGCTTTTCCTTCGCTTCTTCCCCAGTTTCTGCTTGGCTCAGCCTTGCCTTTCCTCCTCATCACCTTCGTGTCGGCAGCGGGGGGCTTTCCTGGGATGCGATGCTCCCAGCGCTCTTCCCAATGGCTCTTCCCAACAGGGCTCTCTCCGTTGCCTCATCTTGGAGGGGTTTCGTTCCCGGTTTTCCATCGGGAATCAATGGAGGGGGGATTGGGATGAGCTCTGAGGTGGAAGCTCATCCCTGTGAGGGTGCTGAGGAGCTGGGATGGGTTGAAGGGAGAAGGTTTGGATGCCCCATTCCTGCCTCCAATTCCCATTCCAACGGGGCTTGGAGTCCCCTGCCCCTGAGCTTTAAGGTCTCTTCCCACTCATCCAGGCTGGGATTCTCTGCTCCTGATTCCAGCAGGGATTTAGGAGCTCTCCCATCGCCTGCCATGGTGGTGGGGGGGAAGAAGTCTCACGCATCCCAACTGCTTTTCCCTTCCTCTCTTCTCTGGAAGCCTTTGCTTCCCATCTTGTGGAATTCAGCCTCTCGAACAGGGGCCGCTCTCTCTGCTGCTCCCACTTCACATTCCCAAGGGGAAGCTGCTTCCCTGTTTCTCCCAGGGCGTTTTCCATCCGCGTTAACCTCAGCGAGCCGGGATAACCCCAGCCCGGATCCAGATCTCCTCGGGCGTTCCCGGTCGGGACTTGGTTTTCCTCTCTCTTCACCCAGCGCCAGGCACCACTTCCCACCTCCCAGAGGGAATGGAGAGCTCCCATCACCACCCCCAGCCCGGATCCCTTCCTTCACACCTTGAGCTTCCCCTCTTCTTGGGGGCCCACCTTGGGGCTCTGCTTCCTCTCCCGTTCCCTACGGCCACGGCACAGGGCTGGGGGGTGCAGAATGAGCCCACAAAGGCCTCTTGGTGTGCTCAGCTTCCCGAACGGATCCATCCTCATCTCTTGGCTCCAATCCTCTTCCTCTCCACAATTCCCGGTCTTCCAGTGTAGCCCTGCATCCACAGCACCACCGGGAGATGCTCTTTTAGGGCTGGACCCGTGGTCCAGCAACGCCAGGGCAAGGTTTTAGAGGTCCCTTTGTGCTTTGGATCTTGGAACACCCCCCCCATGATGGATTCATCCTGCCGGGCTCGTGCCCATGGGGTAGCTGCTGGCTTGGGAAGGATCAGGAAGGAAAAGCCCCGCTTTCCACCCTTTATACTATGGGCAAGTCCTCTCTCTTGACCTCGTAGGTTTAACCCCAGGAAGTGCCCGAGGAAGTGGCCTTGTAGTGAAGAAGGGAAGCGCGGCTGATGGCAACCGGTGTGTACGTCCTCTTCCCACCCGACACCGTGGCAGCGCGGGCTGCAGGCTCCCCGTTGCCCTCTGCGGAGCCCACCGGCGCGGCGGTGCCTGCCCCCGGGGCGGATGCTGAGCGGTCCTGAGCGGCCTCCGGTGGGAGAGGGCGGATGCCGACAGCCAAGGTGGAAGATGGTGGTGGAAGAGCTCGGAGCAGCTCCATAGGGAGCCTGGAGAGGGGCTCTGGATGCAGGGATGGAGGCACAGGCCCAAGGGGAATGGTTTCATCCTGCCGGAGCGGAGCTGGAGATGGGATCTGAGCTCTGAGGGTGCTGAGGCGCTGGAATGGGTTGAAGGGAGATGGTTTGGCTGCCCCATCCCTGGCAGTGCTCAAGGCCAGGTTGGACACAGGCGCTTGGAGCACCCTGCTCCCATGGAAGGTGCCCTTGCCCGTGGCTTTAGATGAGCTCTGAGGTCTCTTCCAAGCCAACCCAGGCTGGGATTCCAACATGGAAACCGGTTGATTCCCATCAGCTGAGCGAGATCTTGCCTCTCTTGAGGGCCAGGAACCCCTCTTGAGCAGCAGAGAGCGAGGGTGGCTTTGACCCGCACCCATCCATCCCTGTGAGGTCTCCTTCCTGCTTTTCCATGGATCATCACTGCTGCTTGGCATGGGAATAGCTGCGAGTGCTTCCCTGGCAATTCCAAGCCCCCGCGGTGCCGGATCCGCTCCATGTGGTGCTTTCTCATCTGGAGAACCCCGGTTGGTGTTAACGCCTTTGTCTCCTCCTTTCCCATCAGGATGTGTTCGGGGACGACTCGGAGGTATCCAAGGAATCCTCCGGGGTGAAGAAGCGGCGCATCCCTCGCTTCGAGGAGGTGGAGGATGAGCCGGAAGTGATCCCAGGCCCGCCGTCGGAGAGCCCGGGAATGCTGACCAAGCTGCAGGTGAGCCTGCGCCGCCGTGGGTCAGGATGGAATTCCATCCACCTGGAATCCCAACCGGGAGCAGCCTCAAGCCTTGGCTGCCCCGTTGGGGTCATGGTGATGGGAAGGGGTTTGGGGGGGTTCTCCATGGCTCCTGGAGGCTGTTTTGGGGGGGGGGGGGCGGTGGATGTGGTCCTACCCCCCCCCTCCCCGCCCCGGTGCTATGGGGACCGTGATGTTGGAGGGGGAGGAAGGCTCCAAGCCCCACTTCTCTCCCCTCAGATCAAGCAGATGATGGAGGCGGCCACGCGGCAGATAGAGGAGAGGAAGAAGCAGCTCAGCTTCATCAGCCCCCCGACGCCACAGGTACCGCAGGGCGCATCCCCCAGCACCCACAGCACCCACAGCACCCACAGCACCCACAGCACCCACCGCAAGCTCTTCCTCTCTCTCTCCCCGCAGCCCAAACTCTCCTCTTCCTCCCAATCGGAACGCCTGCCCATCGGGAACACCATCCAGCCCTCGCAGGCGGCCACCTTCATGAACGACGCCATCGAGAAAGCCAGGAAAGCCGCCGAGCTGCAGGCCCGCATCCAGGCGCAGTTGGCTCTCAAACCCGGGCTCATCGGCAACGCCAACATGGTGGGCTTGGCCAACCTGCACGCCATGGGCATCGCGCCGCCGTGAGTAACCCCCCCCTGCTCCCGGCTCCATCCCGCTCTGGAATGCCGGGATTGGAGCCTCAGCAGGGGCTTTTATAGGAACGAGTTCCATAGGAAGCAAGGGAAATGGGGTTTGTTTCGGCCTTGAGGGAGATTCCCAATGGCCACAAGTGGGATTTGAGGCCTTTCTGGTGCCCTCCGTGAGATCTCAATGGTGGGGTTGGGAATTTGGGGGCTTCCCGTGGAGTTCAGAGCTTGCAGCTCAGCAAATCCAAGCATTCCCAGCGCTTCCATGGCCACTGAGGGCATGGATGGCGACGCCAGCATTGCCTTGGGAATTTGGGTGATTCCCATGGAGCTTCCAGCTCATCTAGTCTGAGCATTCCCAACGCTTCCATGGCCATCAAGGTTGTGGGAATGCTTCCATGGATGGTGACGCCAGCATTGCCTTGGGAATTTGGGTGCTTCCCATGGAGCTTGCAGCTCATCAAGTCCCAGCATTCCCAACACTTCCATGGTCACCAAGGTTGTGGGAATGCTTCCATGGATGGCAACCTCAATACCACCTTGGGGGTGTTTGGGTGATTCCCATGGAGCTTGCAGCTCATCCAGTCTGAGCATTCCCAACGCTTCCATGGCCACCAAGGTTGTGGGAATGCTTCCATGGATGGTGACCTCAATACCACCTTGGGGGTGTTTGGGTGATTCCCATGGATTTAGAGCTTCCATCTCATCCAGTCCAAGCATTCCCAACGCTTCCATGGCCACCAAGTTTGTGGGAATGCTTCCATGGATGGCGACTCCAGCACCGCCTTGGGAATTTGGGTGCTTCCCATGGATTTAGAGCTTCCATCTCATCTAGTCCAAGCATTCCCAACGCTTCCATGGCCACCAAGGTTGTGGGAATGCTTCCATGGATGGTGACCTCAGTACCACCTTGGGGGTGTTTGGGTGATTCCCATGGATTTAGAGCTTCCATCTCATCCAGTCTGAGCATTCCCAACGCTTCCATGGCCACCAAGTTTGTGGGAATGCTTCCATGGATGGCGACTCCAGCACCGCCTTGGGAATTTGGGTGCTTCCCATGGATTTAGAGCTTCCATCTCATCCAGTCCAAGCATTCCCAACGCTTCCATGGCCACCAAGTTTGTGGGAACGCTTCCATGGATGGTGACTCCAACACCGCCTTGGGAATTTGGGTGCTTCCCATGGATTTAGAGCTTCCATCTCATCCAGTCCAAGCATTCCCAACGCTTCCATGGCCACCGAGGGCACGGGAACGCTTCCACGTTGGCAATCCCAGATCATTCCAATGTTTTACGGGGCCATCCCTTCTCTTGGCGGCAGGAAAGTGGAGCTGAAGGATCAGACCAAGCCCACGCCGTTGATCCTGGACGAGCAGGGCCGCACGGTGGATGCGAGCGGCAAGGAGATCGAGCTGACGCATCGCATGCCCACGCTGAAGGCCAACATCCGGGCCGTGAAACGGGAGCAGTTCAAGCAGCAGCTGAAGGAGAAGCCTTCCGAAGACCTGGAATCCAACACGTACTTCGACCCCCGCGTTTCCATCACCCCGGCGCAGCGGCAGAAGCGAACCTTTAAATTCCATGAAAAAGGCAAATTTGAGAAAATAGCCCAAAGGTTGAGAACCAAGGTACCGGGAATGAGGGCGGAGAGCAGGGAGGAAGGGGAAGGCTCTTGTTGGGGGGTTCCAGGAGAAGGGCTGTGGATGAGGGAAGGTGCCGTTGGGAATGAGCTTTGTGTGCCCGTTTCCACGCGCTCAGGCTCAGCTGGAAAAGCTGCAGGCGGAGATCTCGCAAGCTGCCCGGAAAACCGGGATCCACACGTCCACCAAGCTGGCTCTCATCACCCCCAAGAAGGAGCTGAAGGAAGGGGAGATCCCGGAGATCGAGTGGTGGGATTCCTACATCATCCCCAACGGCCTCGACCTGTGAGTGGCTCGTTCCAGAGGTTGGGATCAGCCTCCATGGGGTGATGTGGATCTTGCTGGGCGTTGATGGGGTTGGTGCTCTTATCAACCATGCTCTCCCAGGTGCCTGCTGGGGAACTTAATGGATTTTGGCCCAGAATTCCTAGAATCCTGGAATGGTTTGGGTGGGAAGGGAGCTTAAAGCTCCTCCAGCTCCAATCCCTACCACGGGCAGGGATGCCTTGGAGCAGCTTCCTCCAAGCCCCTGTGTCCAACCTTGAGCACTGCCAGGGATGGGGTTGTGCCCGGAGCTGTATTCCCTGCCCATGGATGTGTTTCCTAAGGGAACACGGGAATGGGAGGCTGTGGGAGCGCTGCGCTCACCCCCAGCCCTTTCCCATGTAGAAAAGGCGGAACGTCTTCCAAGAGGGACGAGTACTTTGGCATCACAAACCTCGTGGAACACCCGGCCCAGCTCAACCCACCAGGTACCCCCAGTTCTGATCCACACTGCCTCAGCACATCCCATCTCCAGAGCCATTCCCTTTGTCCTGTCCCTTCCATCCCTGCATCCCGAGCCCCTCTCCGGGTTTCCTGCAGCCCCTTTAGGCTCTGCTCTAAGGGCTCCCTTTCCCTCCTCCAGGCTGACCCAGCCCTGCTCCAACAGCTCCACATCCCTCTGCTCCTGGCCCCAACATTTCAATCCCCCATCGTCTTTTCCCCTATTCCCTGTGTGCTGCAACCCCTCCACAGCACCGCGGGGCACGGGATTCCCGGTTTTCCTTTGGAGATTCCCATTCTCCATCCCTTCTTCCCGCAGTGGACAGCGACACCCCCGTGACTTTAGGGGTTTATTTAACCAAGAAGGAGCAGAAGAAGCTGCGGCGCCAGACCCGCAGGGAGGCCCAGAAGGAGCTGCAGGAGAAGGTCAGGCTGGGCCTGATGCCACCTCCGGAGCCCAAAGGTGAGGCCATGGGGGCCATGGAGCCATGGAAACCTCATCCCAAACCCCCGGGATCCTTTGGAATCTCCATTCCCATTCCCTTTGCAGTCCGGATCTCCAACTTGATGCGGGTTTTGGGCACGGAAGCTGTGCAGGATCCAACCAAAGTGGAAGCGCACGTGCGAGCCCAGATGGCGAAGAGGCAGAAGTAGGTGGAACGTTGGGGTTTGGGGGCTCCTTTTGGGATGCATTTGGGAAGGGATGGGGGAAATATAGGGTTGGTTTGAGCCCACTGGGGCTGCTGGAGGGAGGGATCCCTCTTGCCATGAGGCTCATCCCTGTTATTCCTGAGCCTTCCAGGGAGGATGAATTAGGGATGCTTTGGGAGGGGATGGGGGAAAGAGGGGGTTGGTTTGAGCCCACTGGGGCTCCTGGAGGGATCCCTCTTGCCATGAGGCTCATCCCTGTTATTCCTGAGCCTTCCAGGGAGGATGAATTAGGGATGCATTTGGGAAGGGATGGGGGAAAGATGGGGTTGGTTTGAGCCCATTGGGGCTGCTGGAGGGATCCCTCTTGCCATGAGGCTCATCCCTGTTATTCCTGAGCCTTCCAGGGAGGATGAACCTGGGATGCATTTGGGAAGGGATGGGGGAAAGATGGGGTTGGTTTGAGCCCATTGGGGCTGCTGGAGGGAGGGATCCCTCTTGCCATGAGGCTCATCCCTGTTATTCCTGAGCCTTCCAGGGAGGATGAATTAGGGATGCATTTGGGAAGGGATGGAGGGAAGATGGGGTTGGTTTGAGCCCATTGGGGCTGCTGGAGGGATCCCTCTTGCCATGAGGCTCATCCCTGTTATTCCTGAGCCTTCCAGGGAGGATGAACCTGGGATGCATTTGGGAAGGGATGGGGGAAATATAGGGTTGGTTTGAGCCCATTGGGGCTGCTGGAGGGATCCCTCTTGCCATGAGGCTCATCCCTGTTATTCCTGAGCCTTCCAGGGAGGATGAATTAGGGATGCATTTGGGAAGTGATGGAGGGAAGATGGGGTTGGTTTGAGCCCACTGGGGCTGCTGGAGGGAGGGATCCCTCTTGCCATGAGGCTCATCCCTGTTATTCCTGAGCCTTCCAGGGAGGATGAATTAGGGATGCATTTGGGAAGTGATGGAGGGAAGATGGGGTTGGTTTGAGCCCACTGGGGCTGCTGGAGGGAGGGATCCCTCTTGCCATGAGGCTCATCCCTGTTATTCCTGAGCCTTCCAGGGAGGATGAACCTGGGATGCTTTGGGAAGGGATGGGGGAAAGATGGGGTTGATTTGAGCCCACTGGGGCTGCTGGAAGGATCCCTCTTGCCATGAGGCTCATCCCTGTTATTCCTGAGCCTTCCATGGAGGATGAATTAGGGATGCATTTGGGAAGGGATGGGGGAAAGATGGGGTTGGTTTGAGCCCACTGGGGCTGCTGGAGGGAGGGATCCCTCTTGCCATGAGGCTCATCCCTGTTATTCCTGAGCCTTCCATGGAGGATGAATTGGGGATGCTTTGGGCAGTGATGGAGGGAAGATGGGGTTGGTTTGAGCCCACTGGGGCTGCTGGAGGGATCCCTCTTGCCATGAGGCTCATCCCTGTTATTCCTGAGCCTTCCAGGGAGGATGAATTAGGGATGCATTTGGGAAGAGATGGGGGAAATATAGGGTTGGTTTGAGCCCATTGGGGCTGCTGGAGGGATCCCTCTTGCCATGAGGCTCATCCCTGTTATTCCTGAGCCTTCCAGGGAGGATGAATTAGGGATGCATTTGGGAAGTGATGGAGGGAAGATGGGGTTGGTTTGAGCCCACTGGGGCTGCTGGAGGGAGGGATCCCTCTTGCCATGAGGCTCATCCCTGTTATTCCTGAGCCTTCCAGGGAGGATGAACCTGGGATGCTTTGGGAAGTGATGGAGGGAAGATGGGGTTGGTTTGAGCCCATTGGGGCTCCTGGAGGGATCCCTCTTGCCATGAGGCTCATCCCTGTTATTCCTGAGCCTTCCAGGGAGGATGAATTAGGGATGCTTTGGGAAGTTTGGTGCCTGCTGCATCCCCGTGTGTGTGTGCAGAGCCCACGAGGAGGCCAACGCCGCCCGGAAGCTGACGGCCGAGCAGCGGAAAGCCAAGAAGGTGAAGAAGCTCAAGGAGGACGTGTCACAGGGGGTCCACATAGCGGTGTACAGGTGAGGCTGACCCCCTTCTCCATCCCTCCATCCATCCATCCCTAAGGAATGCGGGGCCGGAGCAACGCCTCCCACATGGAAACCCCCTCAACCCAATGGGTGCAATGTGGAGCGGTGCCGCTGGGGTTGATGCTTCCCTGCTTGTTTATGGCCACAAAGAAGGGGCTGGGATGGGCTCTTGGGATGTGGCTCATCCCGACGGAGCCGTGCCAACGCCTTGGGCCTTATCCCGCTGCAGGGTGCGGAACTTGAGCAACCCAGCCAAGAAGTTCAAGATCGAGGCCAACGCGGGGCAGCTCTACCTGAGCGGGGTGGTGGTGCTGCACAAGGATGTCAACGTGGTGGTGGTGGAAGGAGGTGAGGCCCGGGAATGGCGCAATTCCCAGGGGGAAAACCGCTGCTTCCTCCTTGGCTCCTGATCCCGGCTTCCTTTCCAGGCCCCAAAGCACAGAAGAAGTTCAAGCGGCTCATGCTGCATCGGATCAAATGGGATGAGCAAACGGCGGCCACCAAGGGCGAGGGTGAGTTTTTGGGGGGGATACTCCCCCCGTTCCTCTCTTTTTGGGCTGAAATTCATGGATTTTGGCTGCTTTTGGGGTTGGGTTTCAGATGAGGAGGAGTCCGATGAGGAGGCTGTGAAGAAGAGCAACAAATGCTCGCTGGTGTGGGAGGTGAGTCGGTGTTCCCAAGGGATCTGCCCCTGTCCGTGCGGAGGGGGAAGCGCTCTTCCAAGGCTTGGGAATGGAGGCAAAGCACCTGCTGGGGCAGGGTTGCAATGGGAGGAGCTTGAGGATCGCGGCCATCCCAAACAGCTCCCATCCCAAACGCCATTCATCCCAAACGCCATCCATCCCAAACTAACGTCCCAAACAGCTCCCATCCCAAACAGCTCCCATCCCAAACGCCATCCATCCCAAACGCCATCCATCCCAAACTAACATCCCAAACAGCTCCCATCCCAAACGCCATCCATCCCAAACTAACATCCCAAACGCCATCCATCCCAAACAGCTCCCATCCCAAACTAACATCCATCCCAAACTCCCATCCATCCCAAACTCCCATCCATCCCAAACTCCCATCCCAAACTAACATCCATCCCAAACTAACATCCATCCCAAACTAACATCCATCCCAAACTAACATCCATCCCAAACTAACATCCATCCCAAACTAACATCCATCCCACACTAACATCCATCCCAAACTCCTATTCCAAACAACTTCCATCCCAAACTTGGGCCATCCCAAACCATTTCCATCCCAAATTCCATCCCAAACCCCCCCATGCCAGGTGGCCGGGATCACGTGATTCCCCCTGTTCCCATCACCAACAGCCCCCCAGGCCCCCCTTCAGGCTTCACCCCGTTCCCTTCCTCCCACCTTGGAGCCTCCTTTCCCCATAGGATCCATCCCTTCCCTCCGCCCCCCCCTTTGGAGCCTCCTTTCCCCATAGGATCCATCCCTTCCCTCCGCCCCCCTCAGGTTTCACCCCATTCCCTTTCCCCCCCCCTTGGAGCCTCCTTTCCCCATAGGATCCATCCCTTCCCTCTGCCCCCCACTTTGGAGCCTCCTTTCCCCATAGGATCCATCCCTTCCCTCTGCCCCCCACTTTGGAGCCTCCTTTCCCCATAGGATCCATCCCTTCCCTCTGCCCCCCCTTTGGAGCCTCCTTTCCCCATAGGATCCATCCCTTCCCTCTGCCCCCCCTTTGGAGCCTCCTTTCCCCATAGGATCCAACCCTTCCCTCCGCCCCCCCCTTTGGAGCCTCCTTTCCGCCAGGAGCCATCCCTTCCCTCTGCCCCCCCTTTGGAGCCTCCTTTCCCCATAGGATCCAACCCTTCCCTCCGCCCCCCCCTTTGGAGCCTCCTTTCCCCATAGGATCCATCCCTTCCCTCTGCCCCCTCAGGTTTCATCCCATTCCCTTCCCCCCCCCTTGGAGCCTCCTTTCCCCATGGGATCCACCCCTTCCCCCCCCTTCAGGCTTCACCCCATTCCCTTTCCCCCCCCTTTGGAGCCTCCTTTCCCCATAGGATCCATCCCTTCCCACCCCCCCCCCCTCAGGCTTCACCCCATTCCCTTTTCCCCCCCTTTCCCCATAGGATCCATCCCTTCCCCCCCCCCCCCCTCAGGCTTCACCCCATTCCCTTTCCCCCCCCCCTTGGAGCCTCCTTTCCCCACGGGCTCCATCCCCCCCCAGGGCACCGCCAAGGACCGCAGCTTCGGCGAGATGAAGTTCAAGCAGTGCCCCACGGAGAACATGGCCCGGGAGCACTTCAAGAAGCACGGGGCCGAGCACTACTGGGACCTGGCCCTCAGCGAGTCCGTGCTCGAGGGCACGGATTGAGCCCCCCCCCCCCCCCTTTCCGCCATTAAAGACCTATTTTTTAATGCAAACCCCCCCGCTCCGGGTTCCATTTAAGGGGGTTGGGGGGGGGGTACCTGCTGCCGTGCGTGTTTCTGAGGGGATTTTGGGGGCGCGCACCCCTCGTTGTGCTCTGGCAGCGCAGGATCCGCTTCCTCCTTCCTTATTTCCCCTCAGAAATCGCTTTATTTTACACCTCCGGCGCCGTTTAGAAGCCCGAAAGCGGAGCTCTCCCTCGCTTCACCTCACAGCTCCCGCCGCCATCTTGGGGTCGGGGAGGGAGAGGAAGAGGAAGGAGGAGGGAGGGGGGGGGGAGTAAGGGCGCCAAGGGGCGGAGCCGCGCATGCGCACAGCGCCCGCGGCCCGTGCGAGGGGAGCCCGGGCACAAAATGGCGGCGGGGGGGCGGGCGCTGCGCTCGGGGGGGCCCGGCCGGTGACCGCCGCCGCTGCCGCCTCCTCCTCCTCCTCCTTCCCCCCCCCATCCCCTTTACCCCGTTCCCTCTTCCCCGGGGGCTTTTCAAGCGGGGCCCCCGAGGCTCTCGTTGCTGAGCGGTTGCCCGTTAGGCTTCAGGTCGGGGGCCGCCGCTGAAGGCCCCGAGCCGCTGAGGCGGCGGAGGGGAGGAGGGGGGGGGGGGGTAACGAGGCCGCCGAGCGCTGCTCCGGGAGGGCCCGAAGATGGCGGCGGGCGGCGGAGGCGGCGGGCGGGCCTCGTCGTCCTCCTCCTCCTCCTCTTCGTCGTCGGCGGCCGCCGCCTCCTCCTCTTCTTCGTCGTCGTCGTCGTCTTTGGAGGCCTCGCTGGATCGGAAGCTGCAGGCGGTCACCAACACCATGGAGTCCATCCAGGGCCTGTCCTCGTGGTGCCTGGAGAACAAGCGGCACCACAGCACCATCGTCTGCCACTGGATGAAGTGGTTGCGGCGCTGTGAGTGCGAGCGGGGGGGGGCCCCTCCGGTAACACCGGCGGGGTTGGGGGCCGGGCCCATAGGGACACGGTGTGTGTGTGGGGGGGGTGTTTGTATAGGCCTGAAGGAGTTGGGTTTAGGGAGCTCCATAGGGATTCCAGCAGGGATAGAGGGAGAGCATTCCCGCTTTCCCTGTTGGTGATTGAGGGTGCTTTACGCTGGGCTTAAAGAGGGGACTGCAGCCTGAGCCCATCTCTGCCCCCATTCCTGCATGGACCCATCCTCAGCCTCTTGGACTGGAGCTCCTGGTACCCCCCCGCTTCCTCCTTCCATCCCTATGGAGCAGAGCCTCTTTTCCCTGCCTTCCTCCTTGCTTTTGGGCTCCTTTCCCACCTTGTAGCTCCTTGGAAGTGCAAAGAAACCCCTGGAATTCCCAACGTTTGGAGCTCTTTGGGTAGAGGATTTGGGGCTTTGGGGCTGGCGTCTCCATTCCCGGCTTTTTGGCCCCATCCCGTCTCCAGCTGGAGCCGCAAGAGGCTGGGAATGAGGAGAGTTGGGAATTGCGGTGCTGGGGCTGCCCCTATCCCTGCAGTGTTCAATGGGGCTCGGAGCATCCTGCCCTATGGAAGGGGTCTGGGTCTGTGGAGGTGGCTGAGCTTTAAGGTGCTTTCATCCCAAGCCGATCCCGTGGGATCCATGCGGAGCGAAGGTGGGGATGAGCCCTCTCCAAGGCACCGGTAGCACCGGTTGGATGCGTTAATGCCCGTCGGAAGGATGGGATGTGGGAAATCTTGGAATTACCCATGGAAAATCATGGAATTTACTGTGGGAAATCATGGAATGAACCATGGAAAACTGTGGAATCACCCATGGAAATCAAGGGATCACCTATGGGAAATCATGGAATCACCCATGGGAAATCATGGAATCGCCCATGGAAATCAAGGGATCACCCATGGGAAAATGTGGAATCACCCATGGGAAATCATGGAATCACCCATGGGAAATCATGGAATGAACCATGGAAAACTATGGAATCGCCTATGGGAAATCATGGAATGAACCATGGAAAATCATGGAATCACCCATGGGAAATTGTAGAATCACCCATGGGGAATCATGGAATCACCGTGGGAATTCAAGGGATCACCCATGGGAAATTATGGAATCACCCATGGGGAATCATGGAATGAACCATGGAAAACTCTGGAATCACCCATGGGAAACTGTGGAATCACCCATGGGGAATCATGGAATCACCGTGGGAAATCAAGGGATCACCCATGGGAAATTATGGAATCACCCATGGGAAATCATGGAATGAACTATGGAAAACTGTGGAATCATCCATGGGAAATCATGGAATCACCCATGGAAAATCGTGGAATCACCCATGGGAAATCATGGAATCCACCATGGGAAATCGTGGAATCACCCATGGGAAATCATGGAATGAACCATGGAAAACTGTGGAATCACCCATGGGAAATCATGGAATCACCCATGGAAATCGTGGAATCACCCATAGGAAGTCATGGAATCACCCATGGGAAATCATGGAATCACCCATGGAAATTATGGAATCCACCATGGAAATCATGGAATCACCCATGGGAAATCATGGAATCCACCATGGAAATCATGGAATCACCCATGGAAATCGTGGAATCACCCATGGGAAATCATGGAATCACCCATGGGAAATCGTGGAATCACCCATAGGAAGTCATGGAATCGCCCATGGCAAACCCCTTACAGCTCCTCCGTTCCTGCCCCCCAAGCCCACCCCATGGCATCGAGAGCCTTGAGCACCCTTTGGGGCAAGGAACTGCTCCTCAGCCCCATCCAACCCCCCCCTGGGGCAGCTGGAAGCCATTCCCATTTGACCCCATCCCATGGGATCCGAGCCCGGCTCCATCCTATTGCAGGCAGCGATCAGACCCCCCCCTGACCCCCTTCCTAGGAGGCTTGGGTTGAGTTGGGTTGGATTGGATTGGATTGGGTTGAGTTGAGTTGCATTGGATTGGGTTGGGTTGGATTGGATTGGGTTGGGTTGGATTGGATTGGGTTGAGTTGAGTTGGATTGGGTTGAGTTGGGTTGGATTGTGTTGAGTTGGATTGGGTTGGGTTGGGTTGAGTTGGATTGGATTGGGTTGAGTTGGGTTGGATTGGATTGAGTTGGGTTGGATTGGGTTGAGTTGGGTTGGATTGGATTGGGTTGAGTTGGATTGGGTTGGGTTGGATTGGATTGAGTTGGGTTGGATTGAGTTGGATTGGATTGGGTTGAGTTGGGTTGGATTGGGTTGGATTGGATTGGGTTGAGTTGGGTTGGATTGGGTTGAGTTGGGTTGGATTGGGTTGGGTTGGATTGGATTGAGTTGGGTTGGATTGAGTTGGATTGGGTTGAGTTGGGTTGGATTGGGTTGGGTTGAGTTGGATTGGATTGGGTTGAGTTGGGTTGGGTTGAGTTGGGTTGGGTTGGGTTGGGTTTGAATTGGTTTGAGTTGGGTTGAGTTGGATTGGGTTGGGTTGAGTTGGATTGGGTTGGGTTGAGTTGGGTTGAGTTGGATTGGATTGGGTTGAGTTGGGTTGGATTGGATTGAGTTGGGTTGGATTGAGTTGGATTGGGTTGAGTTGGGTTGGATTGGGTTGGGTTGAGTTGGATTGGATTGGGTTGAGTTGGGTTGAGTTGGATTGGGTTGGGTTGGGTTTGAATTGGTTTGAGTTGGGTTGAGTTGGATTGGGTTGGGTTGAGTTGGATTGGGTTGGGTTGAGTTGGGTTGAGTTGGATTGGATTGGGTTGAGTTGGGTTGGGTTGAATTGGTTTGAGTTGGGTTTTGCTCCCGTTTGATGCCCTCGGTATTCCCGTTGCTTCCAGCCGCTTTTCCCCACCGCCTCAACCTCTTCTACCTGGCCAACGACGTCATCCAGAACTGCAAGCGCAAGAACGCCATCGTCTTCCGCGACGCCTTCGCCGAAGTGCTGCCCGAGGCCGCCTCCTTGGTCAAGTGAGTCCTCAACGGGGGGGGGGGGGGGGAGATTCCCAAAACAGGGATCTGGCCCCTTTGGAATGCTGCAGAAGGGGGGAGGGACGGCAGTGCCGTTTCAGTGTGGAATGGGGTTGGGGGGGAGTAATTCCCGCACGGAATGGGGTTGGGGGGTAATTCCCGCATGGAATGGGGTTGGGGGGGTAATTCCCACATGGAATGGGGTTGGGGGGAGGTAATTCCCGCATGGAATGGGGTTGGGGGGGGTAATTCCCGCATGGAATGGGGTTGGGGGAGTAATTCCTGCATGGAATGGGGTTGGGGGGGGCTAATTCCAGTATGGAAGGGGGTTTAATTCCAGCATGGAATGGGGTTGGGGGGGGTAATTCCTGCATGGAATGGGGTTGGGGGGGGGTAATTCCCGCATGGAATGGGGTTGGGGGGGTAATTCCCGCATGGAAGGGAGTTTAATTCCAGCATGGAATGGGGTTGGGGGGGGGGGTAATTCCAGTATGGAAGGGGGTTTAATTCCAGCATGGAATGGGGTTGGGGGGGTCATTCCCGCATGGAATGGGGTTGGGGGGGTAATTCCCGCATGGAATGGGGTTGGGGGGGTCATTCCCGCATGGAATGGGGTTGGGGGGGGTAATTCCAGTATGGAATGGGGTTGGGTGGGCGTAATTCCCGCATGGAATGGGGTGGGGGGGGGTAATTCCTGCATGGAAGGGGGTTTAATTCCAGCATGGAATGGGGTTGGGGGGGGGTAGTTCCTGCATGGAATGGGGTTTGGGGGGGGGGGGGTAATTCCCGCATGGAATGGGGGTTGGGGGGGAGGTAATTCCCGCATGGAATGGGGTTGGGGGGGGTGTAATTCCCGCATGGAATGGGGTTGGGGGGGGGTGTAATTCCCGCAGGGAATGGGGTTGGGGGGGAGGTAATTCCCGCATGGAATGGGGCTGGGGGGTGTTTAATTCCAGCATGGAATGGGGTGGGGGGGGTTTAATTCCAGTATGGAATGGGGTTTGGAGGGGGGGGTAATTCCATCATGGAAGGGGGTTTAATTGCAGCATGTAATGGGGTTGGGTTAGGGTTAGGGTGGAGGAGAGGGGAGACTGGGATGGGATCTGTGGGAGAAGCTTCCCA